TTAAACCAATGGGAAACAGCGATTGGCTATTAATTATTGGTTATAGCAAAGATGAATGGTGAGGATAAAAGAAGGTTTTATCGAAAATGAATATGTGAAAAGTAAATGGTTAGCAAAAATCGAATTAAACAAAAGTGTTTGTTCTGTGGTATATCAACAACCGTTGTATTTATGTTGTTCCTGATTAGTATTCAGCTCTTGTGGTACCAGGAATCTTAGATTGTGTCAATATTCATTAAATCTTAAATCTTTCTGAAGTTTTAATTCACTTATCCCAATTATTCTGTTTGTTTTAAAAACGTACGGTGACCGCGATTGGACCTTTGCAAACGCTCCGGTAAACCTCGAATCACCGTTACCTTCAGAGTATCAACTTACGCTGCGTCGCTGGTCGGGGCATTGACTTTAATGCCTGGTCCCTCGTTAATAAAGTGACGATTTTGAAACTAACGAAATCAACGCCTAAAGAATCTTCTAAAACTATAGCGTAAGAGTTCGCATGTGGAGTCACAAGCGTGTGTATGATGTGGACATGCTAGAATGATACTAATCCGAGTCCTGTTAGTATGGAAAAGTTTTGTGTCGTGCCTTATTTATTAAAAGAGGACATCTCAATGATCAAAAGACACTCTTGCACGACTAATTGATAAAAGTGAAGCCGCATGTAGATCTTCCTTTATACTTACTGAGATTAAAGTATATTCTGCTGTTATTGCTTCTGCGTACCAAGGCAGCCTCTTTAACTTCTGGCAAGAGAAGTAGGATCTTCTGAATTTGTTGGTGCTGTTGGTTCAATATTGACAAATTCAGCAACAGTCTCTTCTCTTGTTAATCCCATATCTGTAATCTCCTGTTGAACAATTTCTCTAACGGTATATAACAGCGGTGTATAACGATTGTGTTGAGAGAGAAATCCACCAATTTTGCCAATATAATTCTCAAGTTTATTATATTCTTCATCGTTTTGAAGAACACCTCTAAGCAATCCAAGATGACGATTTATAGCCAAGCCTGGATCTAGTGTATTATTTTCTTCTAACTTCTCTTTTCCATTTTCGTGAGCTATCATACCATCAACTCTATGGAATAAACGGCTGTTGATAGTCATTGAATAAGTCCCATCTCTCGAATC